TTTGAGCATTTTTCGCTGTTAACTTGGTAAAAGATGTAATGAGGTTGCAACTGCAATTGTTCTTTCTTATGTTACGATTTTGTCATGCCCCACATTGAAATGTATGACTGTAATACAAGCGTATAATGCCATGTAATGCAGTTCTCCTTATTGTATTTGCAACTTTATTTTTCAATCGGTGTACAAGTATTTACATAAAAACTAAATATGTCCTTAGTATCAAGATTTTTATTGAGAAACTGTGCAATGAAATAAAGCTTTTCAAAGTCCTTTTTTATTTTAAATATTTATTAGTCGTTTTAAAAAAATCTGTATCTCTACTTTAGTGAGTCTCTTGCAATCATTTTTGTTCTTTGTTAAAGGTAATATATAACAGTATTATGCAGGATTTAAGAATCTCCAGCTGATCATATTTTGCTTCCCCAAGTTCACAGCAGGCAGGTCTCATACCACCGATTTTTTTGTTCACATGCTAGTGCACAATTTCCTTTTTCTGAATATAAAGTATATAGCCTTTAGTAGATTATAAGCATACCATTGTAAGTTATTCTATGCTAGGACACCGTTTAAACTATGGAGAGCTATTAAGCACAATTTTCTGTCAACTGAATTTCCTGAGCATTGTTGTTAATCAAAGTATTTTTAAAAGATTTGTATCTAGATGATAGTAGCTATTTGGCTCTAGGTTATGTGAATGCGATTTTGAAATGTTTTTGGTTAACAGCAATGTTCAGGAAATTCATATCTGCAAAAACTGAATTTTAATAGGTTTGAAGGACCCACAAGAGTTAGATATTGAACAAGGGAAAGAAAAAGATTTAAATATCATGGAATCCGGACACTGAGACTTCAGTAGTGTACAATGCGATCTCTGCCTAACCCGTGCCTGGAAGTCTTCAGTAGCAGTAAAGTCAAAGCTATTATGGGTAAATGTCTTCTCTCCCTAGCGTTTAGAAAACATAAACGTGAATTCAATGTTTCTGCTTTTTTTCATCTGCATAATGATTGTTATGGTACAGGTGAATGACAGTTTTTGATTTTTAAAAGTGACCAGACATTAGAAACTTGTCTCAACTACTTCCAATATATACAGCAAATTAGTAAGTTCTGTCTTTATCCAGTAATTTTTAATGTCTGATTTCTTTTTGTCTTGCTACTGCCGGAAGGTACACCTTGCTACAGTAGGTGGACAAATAGTGCATCGCCAGAACTGTAAGCTTTCTTCTTAACAAGACTTCATGTAGAAGTGCCTTTCCATGAGTAGTTTTCTTTAAACCTTCTATAATCTTATTATATTCAATACTCTAAAAGTGTATTTGAACCAAGATGTGTGTGTAAATGTATTTATTTTATTCTGCAATTTGTTTCAAATATACTTTACTGCCAAAAGCACAAACCGAATTTATGTATGTCCATGATGTAATGGTTCAAAGTAGTTTAGAAAAAGCTGTTCATATCTGTGTGGTTTATGGATTTTCTGTGGGTACCCTTGTTCTAGAAATGTAGGATTGAAATGGTGGCCCAACGTCACTAAGCCATCTCCTTGCTGTTGCAAGCAGCCATATCAAATATTGTCTTCAGAAACAGATCAAATTCCTCCTTATAACTGGTTATGGTTTTTTGCTCTCCCTTCTATATATGTGCATTCCAAAACTTCATTACTCTGATGGTTCAAAAGGTTTTAACTTGTAATGGAAATATATTAGTGGCTGTTTATTCTTGTGCTCACTTTGTCAGTCAATCTCGACTTGGGGCTTTTCTTGAAAGTAAATAACTATAGCCTTTATAGCCTTTATCACAATAAACTAAGGAAGTCCAGCTCTTCTACTGTCCTGATCAAAGTTACATGCTGACCTGCAGCAGCTTGCAGCTGTTGTAGTTTTAAATTCATATGCAAGGTGCATTGGCTTTTTCAAACCGCCCACCTCAACAGTTATAGGTTGAAAATACACTTCCTCAGTGTTACCACTGTTGCATGGGATTCGAGAGAGGTTGCGGTAACAATCCAAAGTCATGACTGTGGAATGGATGGGGTACCAGATCACCAATGCATGCCAGCTTTGAATCAGTGTGTGAAGCAGTACAGGGTGTTTAAGAGTTTGGGGTTAACACAAATTAATTCCTGCTTGATTAAAATAAAAAATTGGCAGGGTAGACATTAATATTTCTGAGGAATTAGTGAGACTTTTTACCTTGCTAGGACCTAACTAATTTTAAACTTCGACTTAAATGGAAGTGATCTTTCACTCTGATGAGAAGAATGACCCCAGCAGCATATATACCTCAAGTATTACAGCAGTTAATTCTTTAGGTGCATATTTACCAAAGTGAAATCTAGGACTGTAAGTAAATATGTATGCTTTCTGAGCCAGGCCTAGCAAAGTTCAGTGTTTCGGAATGAGTTTCACAACAGCCAGTTTGCTAAGCAGGGAACTGCCTACCTACACATCTGCTAATACTGGACATGCACTTAAGCATAGCAATGCTATATGGAGAAGTTCCTCCTTGATTGAAAGAACATACACAGTAAAGATGCCACCTGATTTAGGAAGCAGCTGAAATAACAACTCTGAGATTATAAAACTGGATTTAGATAAAATATGTGTGTCCAAATCTATTTTTTTTAATTGACGCTAGCTGCTCTGTATTTTTTGTAGCATGGCTGAGACCAAAGTGTTCTCATTATTTAGGAAGTGCTGCTGATCACTAGCCTAAAGTGTTATGTATTAAGAACACGACACTGTGATTTTTCCAGTGAATCATGGCATCTTCACTGCACAGGGGTTACAACAGATGAAACAAGGACTACTCACATAAACTGGCCAGTGATTAAGGCACTTTCCTAATCCCATTTCCCATTGTTGCAGGACCCCTCAGACTGAAGGGAAAGACTCTGGTCCTTCAAGTTGAATGCTCCACTCATTAGTCTATGCCTAGAAAGTCACAAATAACAAAATGATTGCTGCTGTTTTAAGGGGGAAAAAAAGACACAGCTGTACTCAGCTTTGCTCAGTCACCGTCCCCACGCAACAATTCCAGATTGTAGGCAGCAAGTTATGGGACACCCCTTTCTGCAAGGCTAAATCAGTTACCGAGTTTCAAAGCGGGATAAGAGTTCAGATAGATCCCCACATCTACTACTTCTTAATAGGTAACTTGCAGCTGTTCCCTGCTTAGACTATTTGCTGTTCTAAATCTCACTCTAAGGCACCTTCCTCTGCCCCTCGCACACTATGAGAAACTGGGGAAAATATTGCTGGATTTTACTTTGAGGGCTCAGTTCGTAAGTGTTCACCACTTCCGTTATTTGGTCTACGTCATCATACCTAATTGATCCTCATGCTTGAGTATTTTGGAGTGAAGACAGCTCAACTGCAAAGTAGTTAGAATTTGGGTGTTGGTATGCTTGAGAAGCTTACTTTCCGTGCCTAATTTATTGTTGCCTTTTTAAACAGCCAACACCTATACTTAATCTCCAATTATATGACAGTATGGGTTTTTCCTACTTTAAAAAAACGTATTGCTTTTCAAAACACCAAGTATTTTTCCCATTGTCCCTAGACTGAATGTAAACAAAAAGGGCGATGGTGCAGCTAGCATTTTGTATATTGATACAGGTAGCATGCTTTTATCAGCCTGCAAGTATGTGTAAATATCAATCAGAATATCAGAATCAATAAATATAAACATTTAAATAGAATGGGATATTTAAGAGTGTACATTACAGGGATATTTTAATTATATATGACGGGTTTATTTACATGTAATTATAAAGATGTGTTCATACCCAATCTTTGGCCTCCTGTAATTCAGGAAAACTGAAATGTGTGCTGCTGCATCTTCAGGGTCAAATTATTTTCCATAGTATAAAATAGAAATTACATTTTTCAGCTAAGTGCAAAATTCAGCTATTATCAAATTTTAATTAAGAATTGTTTGTCTGATTTAGAAGATGATAGAAAGAAGGTATTTATTTTCCTCCACTTGCCAAAAGGTGATCATACTTACAAAATTTGCTGAGATTGTCCAAGAAAGTGTGTAAAATCCTCATCCATCACCAAGAGCCCCTGGTCAGGGAATGACAGTGCAGTAAATATCTTCAGCAGCTGCCTTTTAATGTACAAGCTGTTTTCGGTAGGAATTTTCAGCACTCACATAAAACACGCTGTCATGAGTGACTGCCTGTGCTCCAAAGTCATTACTATTGGGATGATGGAACATCTTTCAGCGAATAACCAAAAAACTTTAAATGTCATGTCAAGTTTGTTGAAGCCATTTTCAAGCCTTGCTCAAGGTTACATGAATATTGAGTACACCTGTTTTTAAAAAGTTTGAGATCTATGAGAGGGACCACTCATATGCTGGTTTTGAGAACAGTCACTTGATTGGGGGGGGAGAACAAAAAAGAAATCTGTCTATTAATACATGTCAATCCAGCAAAGCTCCTGGATATTAACTGAGTGGAACTTGTGACAGTCAATGCCAGTGATGTTCAGCAAAAAGTAGCAAGTTATGCAAATTCTGAATATTACTTAGCTGCCTAAAAGATCACAAAGGAAAGAAAAATTATTACAATGGAAAATTAAATTGAAATAGATTTTTTTAAATACATTTTAAAATTTGAACAATTAAAAAAATACGTAGAAAATGTAATTAACCAGATAAAACTTTGGAAGACACTGAGAAGTGCTAGGTACTCTGTTTTTTCTTTGACTCCAGTAAGAAAGGAGGATCCTGTCAGGCTCCATCTGTGATTTTGTAGGAAATATGGATGCTAATCTAACGAAGTCATGTAAAGTCTGTATCACTTACAAGGGACCAAGCTCACTGCTTTTGAAGTGATAATATTTTTTGTCTTGCCTCCCTGGCAATCGTTACTCCTTCTAGTACATCATCTGCATGTAAAATTTTGTCTGATCAAGAGGTCTTTTTATATTACAAAATATTGAAACTTAGTATTTTAATAGTGAAATGAGGTTTATTTATTTTACCTTCTGCAGAGAACCAGAAAGGACAACTAGAGAAGTCATGTTTGCACCACAGTATCAGTTCAAACTTGACAAGAAGCCCAGTCACCAAAGAGGTTACTTATGATGTGGAAACAAGTTCTTCTACGGCATGGAACAAGGCGGTTGGGAGAAAGGAAGCCTGTCATGGAGAAGGCAACAAAGAAAAGAAAATAGATCGTATCCGGTCTCCTTCTAAGGGGGAAGCCATTCCAGAAGTAGAAGCTCTCCTGGCAAGACTGCGAGCGCTGTAGAATAATCACATAAAGGATTAAATCAAAGCTTAAAACCAAGCTATAATAGCCTACATCTTTAAAGATACACTAATTTTCTATTATTGACATTACATACTTCTGAGTTCCCAACTTCACTATGGATGAATACTTCTAAACTGTTCGTTTGCAAGACTGTACGAAATGATACTATAGTTTTGCATAACTGCAAGATGATTTTTATTATATGTTTTTACCTACTGACCATACGAAAAATGTCAGAAGAAACAGATACTAAATTATTCCAAGGCACAATCCTTTTAGTAGACAAACTGCACACCACATGTTTTGAGAGCTTCTCAAAGTAGGCATATCTTATAAATATTGTTAAATCATCATGCCTGGGAATAAGGGTCAGTAAATAACAGAAAAGGTATTCTTATATTTTCTACTGCAATTGCTATACTTAAGAGGTTTTAGCACCTAAAAAGTATTATTATAGCATCCTTTGCAATTATAGTAATAGGAAATATGTATCATACAAATCCGCCATGTTCCAGTTTGAGTTCATCAAAGAGCACCAAAGCTTGCTGAATTATATATGTATTTACAAAGTGGAAATCCATGGACAGTAAACAAAAAATCTATGCCAATAATATACTTTATGTGTGATTAATATATCACTGCTGTTAAGCTTAGTTATGATTATTGTATCAAAATAATATATACAATTTCTGTGATTGCAATTTGCAATTGTGTTCATAGTGGGGGAAGATGTCTTCACAGTTATTTACCAGTGCAATTTTTTATCTTTTCACATGTGAGTTACTATGTTTCTATAAAAGGAACATGTAATGGAAAAGGTTTTTACAATTGGTTTTTCACAAACTCGTTTTCCAGTAGCCCATAAAGTCTTATTTGCTGGCACAATAGGAATCCTGCACATAATTGCGTCTCTTTTATCGCGCTGTCATTGTACATTGTTACATGTTCGCTATCGTATTCATTAATTGCACATCATAAAGAATTGCTACCTGTGTTACCAAGTAGGAAGCTACTATTAGTATCTTTGCTCCATTATTTAAAGCTTCCTTACTATAAGAGTGTATTAGGTATCTAATATCTTTCTTCTAAGTTACTCTATTTTTCTTTACAAAATGCTGAAAAATATGTCTTTCAATAAGAGTCAGTTACACGAAACCAGTGTTTCAATGCTCCACTGCTTTTTATATCCTTGTTTAAGTTGCCTTCGTACTTCCTGCACCAAACATTAATAAAGTTAATTAGAATTCGGAACCTGGGCCTGTTTATACATACTGCATGGAGGGTTTTTCAGCCGTCATGGGAATCAATCTCAGGTTTCTGGGGCTGTTGTAACTGTCATTATACGCTCTAATTACATTTCCCGCCTTAGCTGAAAAAAATAACAGGTATAAACAGAAGTCAGGGAAAGATACAGAGAAAGCCTGTCAGACAGTCCTTTCTTCAGCTCTCCTTGCAAACAACGGGCAAAGCTGTCATACAAGGCTGCCTTTGGTAACTTGAAATTGCATAGAGTAACCGTAGAATTGGGGCTTAATGCATCTTCAGTGGATAACTAGAAATACAACTACTACTAGTTGTTCCACTGAGGTCTTCTGCACCTCCACCCTTAAGACTTATACCCCTATTTACAGGGTGCAGTAAAAATCACTACCTGCAAAGTACAACATGCTTGACTAAATAAAATGGTGTTTCAAACACAAAGAAAACGTATGTTGAAGGAAAAAAAAAGATAACCGTTCACTGGATGTCTTCAGTTGCTGAGAACGTGCTAAAATAAAAGGGCTAGGAGTAGAGGACTGTCTCTGGAATACTAGCAGGATGACCTACGAAGTGAAGGTGGAAGTACAAATTCATTTTCCTGAACACAGTAAACTTGTTCATTTGAATTAGTGGGTAATAGTCCAAAACAGAAAACTGAAAGTTCAGGACACTACTGTGTAGTTTATCAAGCAAAGAAAAGTTATAAAAATATCTATCTACTGAAATTTTCAACGAACAAAATGCTACTAGCAGCTTAGCATCTTCTGATTTTAAAATAAATATTTACATTTAAAAATATAGATCTTAAGCTACCTTTTCTTACAGTTTGAGAAGCTTTTAGAAATGTATTCCAGGGCTTTTAGTCCTTTTAAGATATTGTGTTTCTGAATTAATCCTTTCAAGCAGCCATCAAGTTAATTCACAGTTTCTTTTGTATAACTAGGAGAATAACAAAAGCTATACGACTTCTTAGAATCCATGTAAATACAGTACGTAATTTTTTCCCCTTCAGTATTTCTTTGTACCATCATAATTTGATGTATTCAGAGTTCAAGTACACAGTCCGGTTGAAGTACACAGTAAGTTTTCTTTCTACATTTCATCTTTCTTTAATTTCCCTTAGAAGCAAACAAATACACAGGACATTTTTGATAGGAAAAAATACTTGTATTGCCTAATGAGTTCAGGTAAAAATAACTTTGGAAGTATTATGTCTGTATTCTATTTCTATGCTTTTATGTTTTCATTGAAGTATAAAACTCAGCTTCTAAATTATATGAAGTAAATTGCTTTAATTAAATTTAGAATTAATTCATTTATTCAATTTAAAATATAAAGTTAATGCAATCTAAAAATACTTAGAGTAGACCTTTAATGGAGTGTGCTAGTTTTCTTTAGTAAGCCATTTTTTAGTAAGCATCAAGTCTATTCCTTGAACTGAGGGATTGAGCTGTATACCACTTGTGCTAGATATTGAAGAAGGTTTCACATACCGTGCGAAACCCTCTCTTTCTGTAATTCACACCTGAAAATTAAATCCTTATAAAAAGAGCTTCCTGATTTCTTCAGACATGACTGTTCAGATAAAAGCATTTGACATAATCTTGCGAGGTACGTTCCACTGCTCCTTCTCTACCTGCGCAGCAGACGGAAGGCGCGAACACCCATGGCTTTTCTTACCAGTAAAACTGTAAAGGTCTAACACATCTTTTTGATTCTTCACATTCATTTAGGATGACACTTCATTTCACTCAGTAAAAGAATTTTGATTACCACACCAATTTTTACTTTCTATGTACACCGTATTATTCATGGCGGTGGTCTAAATTCATATGTAATACTCTAACGTTTTGACCTTATCAAGATACGAATGCTTGCGACCAGTCTCTTCAAGCTGCATGCAACAAAGCTTGACACCTGACTTATGGACCGTAGGTAATGTACTAGTCTGTGTGAACCCAGAAGGAAAAATGATGGTAGCAACTTTATTACAAAATAGCACAACAGCACCAGGAGGTGGTGGCTGCCTTGAGACGCGATACTGCTCTGAATCGGGCACTTCGTTAAAGGAGCATGGACCAGCATGGACCATACAATACAAAATTGTAGTTACTTTTGGTTCCCCGTTAATTATGGCAACGCTACTGCTTAGGAGACTGAAAAGACCACATGTTGGAAAAAAAAAAAAAATCTCAGATGTATTTGTTATAAACAGCTTTCCTCCAACACGCAATTTTCCTTGTTTTACCTCGTATGACCAATCCTCAGCCTGGCCCATCCAAAGTCACGCTTTCTGGAACTGAACGAGTTAATGCTGGGCAGCTGGAGGTACTGCAGCCCTTCAGGCTTTTATAATAAAAGCTGAAAAAGAAGACGTTTACTGCCAACGCTTTTCCCACATCCATTTCTAATGAACAGGACCAAATTATAATTTTTACACTAATCTTTCCAAGCCTTACAATACTCGGTAACTATAAAACAAATGGGCAACAAGCAGGGGTCAATAAACCCTAAGCTATGGCACCTAAAACATTATAATAAGCAACTAGGGTCAAGTGAAAGAGCTCAGAAAAAAGCAATTACATGACAATGTTGTTTTCCCCAGAACAAAATAAAGTGTTGCTGTACCATTTTCTGTTTTTTTAATGTGATGGGTGTTTCACACAACTGAACTGCAGCAGAAAAATAACTTCACTTAAAAGTTTGAGAAACTGTTTTTCTAGTTTATGAAATAAGAAGAATTAGATGAATTGCAGATTTTATCAGTTTTCAGTCTAATTTTATGCCAACATTCCTATATGTAAGAAATTCTGAAATTAGCATCTGCTATTAAATTAACTATGCCACCGATCAATCAATTTGTTTTAAATTATTTTGCCACATGAGGCAAGCACATTTTCTTCCTTTCCAAATACACTTTCTACATTGCACTATTGTGTGTTTTACCCGAAGTATAGTATTCAGATCGGGGCTATACATCTCACTGTAAAAGCATGCTGATAAAGCATTCTGGTCACTCTGACACTAGTGAAGAATAAACAAGAGGTGATCCAGGTACAATTTTTCTCTCCCTCCCAGTTAGAGAGATAGATAGCCATTAAGTTTCATACGTTAGCCGAGTACATTTTAAACCCCTCTGTACTTTTATTTCAGTAATGCGGCTTTTTCTTTTTGTGATCCATGCAACAGCATACACTGAAGAATTATTAAGGGAAATATTTTCCAACAACATACCAAAAATACACTGAGCAGATGACTTGCATGCAACATCAGTCCTATATACTGTAGGAGGCATAACACTTGAATGTAATCCAAACAGGGACAGATAAAGTATTTCACTCCACCAAAAGAAAATAGTTCCTTTCATCTAAATGAGCTTATTCCACTGCTGGTACCAGAACTGTATGTATTTTGAGAGGGTAATATAACCCTATTTTTAAATCTGTGCTATATTAGCCAGAAAAATAAACTATGGAAAGACAGAAGTGCAGAGACTGGGAAGCAGAGTTGATTAATGTGCTGCCTGATTTCACTTCTGGGACCTGAAATTGCATCTAGTGCAGAATGAAGCAACTGGGGGAAAAAAACCCAGTCTCATCTGACATCTTTAAAGGTCATGAAGGAAATGATGGTGGGTGATCCAGAGTTGGTTTGGCCACAGGTGTCTTGTCTATTCGAAGACATATATCAGAATATCCTCAGAATAGCAATGCTGTTGGGCTGTTAGTTCTCAAAGCCCTCGGATGAAAAAAAGGAAGGAAAAGTCTGACAGAGATAAATATGAGCCCACATAAAACCTAAGATTATTTTCATCTTAAATCCAAGCATCAGCCCTGCTCCCATGCACTTTGGTAGCTGAAGGAAGAGCACGAGGAGAGAGAGGAGTCCACGCAACGGTCATACCTCTCTACTGCCATGCTGGACAATACCG